AAAGAAAAACTAACCGATCCTATTGAAACTGGCAATAGGGTAAGACAGGAAGATTCCCTGAGTCCTCTATTGTTCAACCTGATTATGGATGAAATAATAAAAAAAGTAAGAACTAAAAAGGGTACCAAATGGGAGAAAAACAACTTAAAATAATCTGCTATGAAGACGACGCAATACTACTCTTTCAAAGTAAAGATTACTTACAACGTATGCTGCACCAATTTAATATAACCGCTAGAAAATTCAACATTCCCCAAAAAAGTCAAAATGGCTACAACAGCAAATTTACTAAGATGTAAATTGGAGCTGGAATTTCAAATAATATAACACGTGATTTGAAGAAACAATAAAAAATTTAATAAATAAAAATTCATCACGATATGATAATACTAATATTTGTATTTAGAGAACAACTTCCGAAGTGGAAATTGAAACGTCAATACACGTACTTCAACCTTTAATTGTGGCTCATTCCCATTTAAATAGTAATTAATTTAAAATGCCACAAGAAAATAGCTTCAGAACAATATGATAATATTAGATCTGAAACTTAAAAAAAAAACAACAACAAAACATATTTCAAAACCCTTAACATACAATACATAAATAAATGTATGTGTTAATTTAGGCATTTTCCAGATATATTAAAACTGGAACAATTAAACTACACTATTAAAATCTGGCGTAGAAATATATTGTCAAAATTTTAGGCCTATCACCCTCATCTTAGATATAGGCAAAATATTAGAAAAAAACGGGTGTGGCAGTCCAGTGGGACTGCTGGTAGAGTGATAGAGTGATGGTAGATAGAATGCTATAGATAAGAAAGAGCAGAAAGAGAAAAATAATTAGGTATATGGTGCATCGTTTGCTGTATATAAACATTTGACCTGTAATAGAAGTATAGTAAATGAAGGATTGTATCAATATTTTAATGAAAATATATATTTTTATTTTCATATGTCTATAAGGAGTTGAATGCAAAATAAATTTTTTACACATACTCTGCAGTAAAATTCATTGTTTATTTTGTTATTAATATAAAAATTACAATACAATACACTGCAACATAATTGAATATAATAATACAATACAAATTAAAATCAATATTCATAAGTATTTAAAACTGCCAATATACATAACTTACTTTACGAAGATAAAAATAAAAAACCAACAACTCGGATTGTGTTGTAAATTTTCATTTTATTTGAAAATTTATAATTTTTGCGTATATTACATATATTTAATAAGATTAATGTGGGGTTTTTAAATATTTCAAAAATAAAAAAGTAAATTCATAGTGGGATTCGAACTCACACACAGCAGCGTATGAACCAAACACGTAAAATATTTGCCAATTAGACATGACTCTAACGAATTTAAAAATTGACAGTTCTCGGTCATACAGTGATTATTTTGAAATACTAAAGCCTAAAATAATTATGAACATCTAATAAATAATACAAAACAAATCACATAAATAATAATAGTAATATATATTATATATAATATTTATATATATATAATGTATATAATATTAAATATATATACAAAAGGAACATTTGTATTTTCGAGAGAGAAAGAGAGTGAAAATATATCTTCTGTCTCTCTCTTACTCATATCTTACATATGTAATGGTTTCAGATTCACTCCCGTACAAATTTGCAACATATATTATATATTAAAACTGGAACAATGCATTGCATTGCAACGTCGAGCTCGCGTATAGAAATATTACTTCAAAAAAATTAAGATTAAATAATTTAAAAAAAATTCAATATATGTTTGAATGTCAGTATGAGCTCCAATAAAGAAAATCAACTGAAAATGCAATCTGTGCTCTAACAGCTAACATCTACAAAGCTCTTGATAATGCAAGACCAGCTCTTTGTAGATTTATCAAAGGTATTTGACACTGTTTCACGTAAAATATTGCTAAACAAACGTAAATAATATGGTATTAGAGGGCTTGCATATCCTAGAAAGTTATCTTCGAAACAGGCAACATGTTTATATAGTTGAAGAAATTTGAAAGGGCCGAATTATATCATATGGAGTCCCGCAACGAACAGTCTTACGACCAATTCTCTTCAATATCTACGTCAATGATCTATTCAGACTGAATATTACAGGTTAAATAGTAAGCTTTGCAGATGATACAGCTATTTTGTATGATATAAATACGTGAAGTAATTTAAAACAAAAAGCCGAAATAGACTGCTACATTTCAGAAATTTTTTCAGTTTAATAAGCTCACCTTAAATGTAGATAAACATCGTATTTAAGTAACCTCCTAAATCTTGGCTCATTAAAAGTCGATGCAAAAAACTGAAATTCCATATACATACGACATTAAATATCTAGGTATAATAATTGATAAACATTGACGATGGAATACTCAGTCAAATAATATAATAGTTAAATTAAGAGGGTTCCTATCAAGATTCAAATTTTTAAAACAATTATTAGGAATAACTCATTTTCGAATTCTTTATTATGTACTAATACAATCTTAACTTACCTATAGTCTTTTAAAATCGGGTGGAATACGGAATAATTAATTGCATTCTTTAAACATTATTCAGAAAATTTAACGTTATGCTAGCGAACGATATGATGAAAGTCAATTTTTAATTATACGTACATGATTCTGTTACAAAGTCCTTGCCCATCAAACTAGGCATTCAAGGAATAATGCAATTTTACCTTAATGTTATAAATCCATACTCCAGACATGTTGGTTATATTTGGCCCAAATTGTCTACCATAGAATTTAAAACAAATTAAAAATGATAAAAAAGTTAGATATAAATATGAAATTAAACAATGGATTGGAAACAAAACAATACAATTCTATGTAGATAAATAGACTTTTATCTAAATGGGTCATGGTTTAAATCATTTAATAATTTTCTTTTGCTTGGCAATTATTAAAAACTCCTTCATTTCAGACTGATATTTAGCAGTGGCATTAGACATTGCCTCTTAAAATACGACTTTGTTCCATAGATGGATCAATTTTCACAAAGAAATCATCAAGCTCTTTTGCTATTCTTAAATTTTTACTAAGATTTTTCAAATTCCATGTCACGCTTCCAGTGCTTATTGAAGCCTCTTCTTCAATGGATTGTGTGAATTTAACATTTTCTCCAAGTCGGTTTTAGTCAAATCTTTATCTTGCGATTCAAGGAACTCCTGAACGTCACTTGATTCTACCTGTTCGAACCCCTCTTGTCCTATTCCACTCGTAATTTCGGCAGCGTTTTTAGTTACATTTTGAACTAGCACAGATTCTTCCTCATTTCCCGCAGTCAGAACAGGCTACAGGTTTTTCCAACATGACTTCAATGTATATGGCTTCAGTTCTTGCAATGAATATTTTATGTTCAGAATGCATTTTGTTATGCCACATTTCGTCCAGCATTCCATAACATTCATATCAGGATCACATTCTGTATTATTCAGTATCATTTTAAAGGTTTGTAGAATGTAATAGAACTTCAAGGAATGGATTATTCCTTAGTCCATAGGTTGAAGCAAAGCTGTCGTATTGGAAGGTAAAAATGCCACTTTTACATTTGGATGCATAGTTTTAAGTTTGCGAGGATGACTTGGTGTATTGTCGAAAACTAAAACTGCTTTAAAGTCTAAATTCTTTGATTTCAAATAAGTTTTAACTTGAAAAACAAAACAATTCCGGAAACAGCCACAAAAAATAGTACTTCTAACCAATGCTTTCTTATTAGCACGCCAATACACTGGCAGTTCGCCCTTGTTTTGATTTTTTAACGCACAAGGGTCTATAAAGCATTAACGATTTAATAGCACAATCATCTCCAGATGCATTAGAACAAAGCAGCAGCGCAACTCTATTCTTTTGCTGTCTTAAATTCAGGGGCAGACTTTTCGCTTTTAGAAATGAATGTTTTAGTAGAGAAGAAGATGCAGCTTTTCCAACGATTTTGATGCTAAGCAATGATTGTCGCACCTTAAATTTATTGAACCAACCTTCCGATACTTGAAATCCTCCATTTCCAGGTTCTTTAAAATGTGCGGAGACGGTTTGCCTTCTCCCGGACCATATGACCACTCAGAGGCACTCTTTTTTGGTTGCAGTCTTCGTTCCGTAATAACAACGTCACTTTCATTTTTTCTATTGCTAGATCACGAATAATTTTCGCTCTCAGTGAAGTTGAAGCTAGGTCACCTGAGGTCAAAGATCAGCTTGAAGCAATTGTAGAAGCAATTGAAGACACAGTTGACGACGCAACTGATGCAAAAGCTAGAGTTTACGGCAAAGGAGTACTACATCAAATAAAATCCTTTGATTGTGTCCCCTTTGGTATGTGTTTGCAAATAATGCTGTTAATTATATTTGCTGGGTTGACAAAGTTAGCAAATTACTTTAATCACTAGGTATAGATATTTATTAAGCTATATAAGAAGTTTCAGACTTAGAGAGAACTCCGAGAGTTACTCCGAGAAAACATAAAGTTTCTACTAGATCAGATAATAATACTGGAAATGCGTTTACAATCAACGAAAAGAAAAATGAAGTAAAACTCTTTGTATTTTTTAGTGAAATTTTTTTTATGACCGAATGAATCAGTCATTAAACAATAAATTTGACCAAAAATAAAAAAATTATTTATTCAGTAGGAAAAATCATATCATTAAATATAGATGAGCTACGAAATCAAGATTTAAAATACACCTCAGAACATTTTGATTTGAATTCTTAAGAATTAGAAACTGAAGACTTGAACCTGAACAAGTTGTACTTGTGAAAGAACTTTTTCTAAGCTAATACATTTGTACAAGATTTCTGTTTATTTAATATACAATATTAATTGAGCACTTTTTGTGCTTGTCTTACAATAACTTCACAATTTATTTATTTCTTAATTGAAGTTCAATAATCCACTACATTGTAGGCACATGGCAATTGAGAAAAAGAAGAGGAAAAGGTAATGACGTAAATGTGTCAACGAATCAAAAATGGCCTTTTCCGGTTCACGCCGTCGTTCAGCAAGAGCTTGTGATTTATATTTTTGAAAAATAGAGAGTATTCTCTAATATTTAAGGTAAAAATTTGATTTAATATTTTGAGGATTCCTAACGTTATTGATTTATATTTTCTAAATATAAATTTTGGTGTTATAAGTTGCTAATTTTTGCTACTTTTAACACGTGTTTAGTTGTATTTAATTTTTAATTCATTGTAGTTTACATGATGAGATTATATTTTCTGACACCTCTTGGCAGAATAACTTTGTTGATAACAATAATATTTTATTAACTGAAATACTGAAGACTTTTCTTACAAATTATTGTTTGTGGAATCGTATTATACATTTTGGTCTGTTTGTAGGACAGTATGGAAGACGATTGGGCTACGGATAACCAAACTGGTGCAGTTGCCGCCCCAAAATTGCAGAACTACCCGAAATTAAATTGTTTGCTAGATGGAACTGTGATGATGTCCAAGTTTCAGACATGTCCCTTCAGGTACAGTTTATATTTCTATTCAGTAAAGGTTATGTTTTTGATAGCTAAGAACATGCTGAATTTAGTGATTTGAGATGTTTCTTTGCAATTGTGAGATTATTTCTATTATTATTTGATGTATCAAAATTCTTTGACAATGTACTGAAAAAAAAGGTAATATGAAAAAAAAATACATGCCTTGCAAAACTGACTTGCATGTATAGTCATCTACATTTCAATATTACTTGAATCTATGCTACATATTTGAAAACAAAATTAGGCTGCTATAGTTAAAACTGGTATTCCAATCTTAAAAAACATAGTTATGTTGTCACACATTTCTTAAATTGCACCCTGAAGGGTCACTTTCTAAAATTTTATTGCTAAACAGTTTTGAGTTTTGATCTATGATTTTTTTCACATTTATTTTAAGTCAAATATGCTAATTTTAAATTTTTTTTAGAAAACCACAGCTTCGTTTTTGGCTGTTTTCTCAAACAACTATTTGAAGTGAGGCAGTGAAATGATTTCTTAATTTTCTAAACCTAATTTTGTTAGCATGTAGTAGGCTTTAATACTTGCATTTACTTGTGTTTACTTTTGTATTTCTCGATATAATTGAGGATTTAAGAATCAGATTGAGCCCAAAATATCCTCTGCATGCAAATTTTGCAGTTACACCCAGCTACGCAGATTCATTCACAGCTTCTATGACATCATTTTATATTACAAGTGGCTGTAGGATATGTGGTTGTGTGCTTATTTTCATATACTTTGTTTTGTTGATTTGTTTTAAAAGGTTCCCTCTCATGTATACTGCTTACCTCATCTCTCTCTTCCAGGTTTTCTTTTTCCTCTGTATTAAGTGCCTGGTTAAAGTACAGTCAAAATCATTTATAACGAACTTCAGGGACTGGTGGTTTTTGTATGTTGTAGCCAGTGTTCTCTGTAAGCAGTTCTATCGGTTATAATGAAGATGTTGCTATAAACGATATTACACTGGTAGGAACAGTTAGTTCATTGTACCTAGGTATATGACCCAAAAATGTGTTACTTTATCTATACTTAAAATATGTTATAATAACATATACATAACATTTAACATATGTGTTTATTGTACTTACATAAATCTAAATATGTACAAACATATGTATAATATATATTGAAATAAGTATAAGTAGTCAATAAAGTATACTCATAATATAACGGCTTCTCAAAATCTTTGTATTATAAAAATGTAGGCATACATATACTATTTATTTTTAAAAAAACAAAGAACAATACATACATTTATGTATTATATATTATATTATGTATTAAAAAATACAACATTTTACCTGAATATATAATGAAAAAAGACATAATTTTTGTTTGTCGCCTTCCTTGAACTTCTGAAAAAAACATTTTTTCAATTGATGTGGAAACAATTGATAATGATTCTTTCACAATCTAGGAGTCTGATCTGAATAAATGCTCTTACGATGTCAATATCTGACAGTTCTTTGCTTATACTTATTTCGTCATTTCAGTCAGACTTCTTATAACTCCTTGGTCCATGGGCTGCAGTACGGACGTACAATTTGGAGGCAGAAAAACGAAGTTAATTTGTTTTAACCTGTCAACTTGGGGGGTGGGACGGAAAGTTGTCCATAATTAAAATTATGTGTTTCTTTTGTTGTAAAAGTTCACTGTTCCATTTTATTGTCATAAAGTCTTTTCAAAAATAGCCGACGTCAGTCCAGGCTTTTTTATTGAAATCATAGATTTTTCACGTTTTTAAAACAGCGTGGCATTTTAGTTTTTCCTATCACCAAAAGCTTCCTTTTTATGGAACCGGACATGTTGGCTGCAACAAGAACTTAAGTCGCTCTTTTGAGAGTTTACCAGCGGAACATTTCTCCCCTTTAAACTTTAACATGTGATCAGGTGTCAGTCTAAAAAATAACCCCATCTTGTCAGCATTAAAAATATCATCATTGCTATAGCCGGACCTGAGTGTAGGCCACACATTTTCAACCCAGTCATTTGTAATTGATCTGTCAACAACTGCTGACTCAGTTTTTCTCTCGCCGTTTCATCATTCCAGCAATTGTTGAACGTGACGTCTTAAATTCCCGGGCAATCGAACTCGCGGAATCACCGGAATCGATTCGACAAATTATTCCAAACTGTTGCTCAACAGTAAATTGTTTCCGTGACAGATTTTTTATGAAGGCTAGACACAACTGAATTCAAATTCAGAAACTCTTGGTTTGGGCCAAATGGTGTAAATTTTGGGACCCGTCTTGGAAGGTGCAAATGTCTAAAGGACAAGTAATCAAGTGTAGATGCCTGCCTGGATGTACTATAACCATAAATTAATAAATCCTTACTTCTCATTTCATGGTACTAAATATCGGTAATACCTGTGAGAAATACAACACTACAATGTCCATTTTCATAACTTTACAGGATAGCACCTTTAAACTTATTTATTAAGATGTGGAAACAATATTATATTGAACATTGTATCCTCCGTCAATTACATCATGCGTTGGTTATAATTATTTATTAGTTATTTTTTATACAGTGTGTAAAAATGTCATAATTGAAAAAAATGGATGTTGTATCGTCTGAGGTACAGATATGTACTTGAAATTGTATGCTGTAACCAATAATTTAACTGCTAGTGTTCCAAGAAATCTGTTTGCTATAACCGATTTGGTTATTATAAGCAATATAAATGCGTTTTTTGTATGTCATTTTATGGGACCTACTATTTTGTTTGTTATATCAACGATTTTGACTGTATTTATTGATTGTTTTTATTGTACTGTATTTATTTATTTGATTGAATGTTATTTCTGAATTTTTTTTTTCAAATTAACTATTAACCATTATATTTACAGAGACAATCACAGAAAATTGAAATATACCAAACAATGTCAGATTTGCACTCATACTCCCACTCAGCCCTGTCATACACCATCATAATAAGCGAATTCCCCTCTCTCTTTATGTAGTAGTTTATGGATATTCCCTAATTTTACTCTAAATATTTTTCTATTGCTAGCAATATGATCTTTCACATACTTTTGTCCTTTTGTATTTTAAAAGATATATTGTTTATATGAAAAGAAACTAATTTAAAGCCAATCATGATGTTTGTAAGTGTGTTTTCACATTTTTTTAGAAGGTAAAATGCTATTTGTTATTGAATTAATAATTAACTTTTTTCAGGACTATATTGCAGTTAAAGAAAAAAATGCAAAGTATTTACCCCATTCAGCTGGTAGATATGCTGCAAAACGATTCCGTAAAGCACAATGCCCAATTGTTGAGAGGTTGACAAACTCTCTAATGATGCATGGACGTAACAATGGTAAAAAATTGATGGCTGTCAGAATTGTTAAACATGCCTTTGAAATTATCCATTTACTAACAGGAGAAAATCCACTACAGGTAATAATTTTATAAAAACTAATGAATTCCTTAGCCGTGTCTTAAAAACAATTTTAGTTTCGGTTATAGACAATAAAATATTTTTTAATTTCAGATTTTGGTTTCTGCTATTATCAATTCAGGACCTAGGGAAGACTCTACTCGTATTGGTAGAGCTGGTACTGTAAGAAGACAAGCTGTTGATGTTTCACCTTTGAGAAGGGTTAACCAAGCAATTTGGTTGCTCTGCACAGGTGCTAGGGAAGCTGCATTCCGTAATATTAAAACTATTGCTGAATGTTTGGCTGATGAATTAATCAATGCCGCCAAGGTGAGATTATTTTTATATATTAATATTTATAGTTTTTAATAACTGATACCATTATCCAAAGTAAGTTATTATAAGTTTACTCAACTTTTGATATTCAAAATTTCTAGCAGTGAAGTTAGTGATCTAATCATTCACCAGGTACAAACTGTGAGAACCAACTACAAAAGAATCTAGACACAATTAATGATTGTAAGTGAAGAAATACATATAATAAATTGCAAATCAATGGAATAAACATTGAACATGTACATACATACTTTAAATATCTAGGAGTAGACTTACAAAATTATGGTAAACAAGAACTAAAAATAAACAATAAAATAGATAAGACAATAAAATTAGACTATGCAATGAAAAAAGTTTTTTGAAATAATGAAGAAATTTCCAAACAAACAAAGGGTTAAGTGTAAGATTTCACACAATGGATAAAATAAGAAAAGCAAAGACAAACTAGAACTAAAGTCAACTCTCAAATTCAAAGGAAAAATTTTATTTGGCAAGAACAAAGAATAGATGGCTCCAGATAAGTAAAACTGATATGGCAAACGAGGATTAAAAAAAAAGGAAGGAAGAACAAGACAGACGTGGGATAAAGCTGCAGGAGAAATATTGCCAGCCAGAGAAGCAACATGGGCTACAGCAAGAAATCTGTTAAGTAATAGTAAAAATAGACGAAATTTTTACACGAACTAGAAAAAAAAAACAAACTCAATTGTAAAATAATATCATAACTTGATCTATACTACCAAGTGGTAGAAGGGGGATAGCTCAGTGGCTAGATACTGGCTACCAAGCTGTTGGTCTGGCTATATAAGTAGTTAGCACTACATACTTCTACAATATCTACTACTACTATCTACAATACTTCTATCAGATTCCTTAAGTATCCAACATAGTGATGTGCAGAAAACAAACTCGACAGTTAAATGTCAAAACCTTCAGTCAAAAATTGGCCATTTTTAGATTTATAAGGATTTGAGTTGAAAATATTGTTCCAAATGTTCTGGCAAAACCCCAGATTCATGAAAACTATGTATTGCCATGTGTCTTTCAAAGTAATAATTAAATAGATACTATGAAAGAAAAAATATGTACTAAATATCGAAAGTTTTTTCACTCTCCAAAAAATTTAATATTTTGACTACAAGGTTTTGACTTTTAACCATTGATATATGTATTGATCCATATTTTTACTGAGGATTTCTATGACATATTTTTGAACAATTAATAATCATGGAAGAAACATACACTAAATCATCATACTTTGTTTTAATAATTGTTTAATTTTGATTGAAGTTCTGTCAATAGTCATCTATTTTTTGTTCTAGGGATCATCAAATTCTTATGCTATCAAAAAGAAGGATGAACTTGAACGTGTAGCCAAATCCAACCGTTAAATTTATTTCTCATTTTATATTTTATTTCCAATAATAAATATGGAAAAAACTTAATTGATTATTTTAATATGTATGGATACTTTCCATTAATTACATTTTTCCTTAATCCACATTCAACAGGTTAAATAAACGGTCGTCAACAGGCGGACCGCGTTCCGTATTCAGACCGCGAACGGTTGAACTGCAGACCGAACTGTGGAATATCGATTGCTGAGTCAATCAAGTTCAAAATAAAACTGCTGTTAATTTTTAAATAGGAAGTGAAATGATAAATAAACATAATAAGAATTATGTACAAGTGATGAAATATTGTTTTATAATAATATGGTATGTTTACAATAAGTGTTTTATTACATATATGTATAATACAATCATGTACAAATAAAGTTTTGGCGTATCTCAAGATGTTACAGCCAAAAAAATGAATAAAAGTTATAACGCAACACAAAAGATAACAAAAATTAATCAATTCTAAATTTACAAAAAGGTTACAGAAATGAAAATATAAGAATTTAACCAAACCGCACTTGGTTAAGTGGATTAAGTATCTCACACTATTATTTAATGAGAAACTGAGACTTAAATGTTCACAATTATTACTTATTGAAATTTCTTGAATCTATTGAAATGTTCTTTAAATTGAATGCAAAAATCAGCAATCTACAGGTGAAGACGACATGGAGAAACTTTAGATACACCAGATAATGGCAGATGATACGGCAGAGAATGACCATATCATGTTACTCGCCCAGATAATTTGAAGCTAATGATTACTTACAGTAAATCTTGACTGCTGCACTAGGTACTTTACTGAAGCTATATACTGTACTTAATACTTTACTTGTATCCAACACTGACTTTAATTAACATTAAAGGTACTTTAGAACTATATATAATCTAATATTGTATAAGAAAAGAAAACTCAAATATAAAGTGTATACACATTTAGAGAAAAAAATGCACAGAGACGGTAATTTTAGGCAAGCGACTTCACTCAATGATCGCCCAACTAGAAGTAACTTGGTTTTTCTAAAATTTTACAAACTACCCAAGAAAAAAGAGGGGATATCTCCCACTCAAAAATCATAGGCCAGTCGTATGTAGTTCTGAGAAGGTAAAAAGATTCTAATGAACATCGAAACTAACGCTACCCTTCTAACGTGATGAAATATACATCTTCTAGATTAGGTTTTTCCCGAAAACATTACAACGGGCGTTCGACGACAATTACCGAATTTATGAAAAAGAACCCAGAAAAGAATTAACTAAGAATTAGCCAAACCGGCGTCTTTAAATAAATAGGTAGGTAGATTCTTCAGTCATATTTCGATAGTTTCCCAATAAAAATTTCTGATCGTAAACACGACCATCAGCGTATCATCACCATGAGTAAAGGGAATTAAAAATAATTTAAGATATTAATAATAAAAAAATGTTACAATTTTTGTTAGGAAATTAAATTTATTTTGGTACTCATTGAATGACTTACCTACACCTTTTAAATTCAACTATGAACTGATCAATGATGACTAAAAAGATATTGATTTTAAAACATTTTCTGCCGTCAAGTTTAAGATCTTCAGCTCCTCCGTCATCATATATTTTGTTTCTTTTGAGAACCACAGTATTTTTCGTAACTTTTATTTTCAACAATTTTAAGACCAAATGATTCATGATAATCAAAATCCATTTCTTTAAGAAGAGACATATTCTACAGCGCATACAGCTCTGTAACAGTTAGAACATTTAATATCTGAGAGTCTATTTCTTTGAATACTTTATTAAAACGGTATACAATTAGGATCCAAAAGCAAACCATAAAGGCTATCTTGTGATATGCTTTTCTGAGTGGTTGAGAAACCTCAGGGAGTGGTTTGCTTGCACTTCTATACAATTGTTCCGAGCGGCAGCCTCCAGGGTCAAAATTGCCATGATGATAGCCAACCTTCGTAGCGGAGATGGCACTTGAAGAAGAAAGACAATGTTTAGAGTACGAAGACGCGCAAATTTCCATCAACTGAGCGAGTTTGATGGGCTTACAGAAGTTTAAATACTGTGTTAATATATTATCGAACATGGCGACAAGAAGGCCTATCATAAAGATCGGGGGGCACAGGGGGCCTAAGATGGTCGCTTAATGTGGATGATTCTAAGAGACAGCTTCTCCACTACCAGATCTATTGCAAATTAACGGTTTGCAGAACATCGAAGACCGGTTGTAATAAGAACAATTTTATCGTCGAATTCACAGTTTTTGACTTTTTTTATTTAGGTCATACTGGGTGCTACCTCTTACCCCTGAATATCGACGGAATTGTCTTGAATAGTGTAGTGAACGATTGGCTTGGGTACACAAATGAAATGGAGTTGTCTATAGTGATAAATTTTGATTCTCTTGGGGACACATGATGGCCGAGCCAGGATCAAAAGACGACATGGTGAACAGTTTTTTTGTGGAACAGCACGTGCACCACACTGTTGAAGTTATGGTGTGACGTACCCTCGCTTGGAGCGGGACATTGTGAATATTACCATAGTCTTTCTTAAACAGGCTGGAGTCTACATTTTGCCTTGGTCTCAGAGGTCCTCAGATTTATCCTCAATTGAACACTCAATTAAACACGAGAGTTAATGAGGGCATGGAACGAGATAACCCAGGAGGAAATTGACCAGACAAGAGTGTGTCATCCAGTGAGGTGCATCAACACAGTATTAATTGATTTATCCCTGTAATTTGTTTTAATCATATTGAAATTTTAATCGTTTGTTTATTTTGCTACCTTGTATAGTTGTACAAAATATTTTTAAAATACTATTTATTTACAAAGCTTAATAGGCCTTAAAGACCTAGGGCTAAAATACAATTAATATAATACTTATATATTACACAACTTGTATCAAGTGGGGGGGGGATCTTCTTATCCATCATGCTCCTTGCCTACTAAATTAAGATATTATTCATCTCTATTTGTTGGTCTTTCTTCATAATCATCAATTCCTTCTTTTCTTAGATCTTACTGTATGCTATCTTTCCCTAGGTCGTCCTTACCTTTTTTTCGTGATTGGGCCTCGTTTTAGGGTCATCTTTGGCACCCTCTGCCTTTCTATTCATGCCACGTGCCCCATCCATTTTGATCTCTGTGCCTTTATGAAGTGACTGATGTTTGGATCGTTGTACAGTTCCTTTAGTTTCCTGTTTGTTTGACGAACTTAACCTTTCACCGTGTTTTTGCCTCCATATATATAGCTCTCTCCCTTCTGTCCAATTTCTCCCTATTTGCTTTTTTCTTTTTTCTACTTCACTACCATACGTTACTGTAGGCCTTATTACCGTTTTATTTATCCTTAACTTTATTTTTCTCGATACATATTTAAATTTTATCAGTGGTATTAAGCTTCCCACCTTTTTTTTTCCTTTGCCAATCTGCATTCAGTTCCCATTCTTCCTGACCTTCAAAATTAAACTTCCTCTTTTTTTTGCTTTGTATTTCTGAGTATCATATACCTACATGCTTTAATTTTTCTTGGTTTATTTTTAGGTCAAAATATTTTGCCTCTTTTTCTAATATTTTCATAATATTTCTTAATTATTTTCTTGTTTTCGTTAGAATCGTAAGATCATCAGCAAAGGCAAAACATTGATGTTCTGTTCGTTTTAACTCTGCTATTTCTGATTATTTTTTCCAATACTAAATTAAAAAGCACCGTGTATAATGGATCTCCTTGTCTAAGACCTCTGTTCACTTCAAATTCACGCGATGAGAATCCTCTCCATACTACATGATTTCGTGTGCTATTCAGTCATTCTTACTAACCTAACCAATTTTACGGGTATACCCAAGGCGCTGAGTGACTCATACATTTTATTTCTTCTTATCCTAAAATACGCTTATTTAAAATCTTTGAAAAACGCTTGAAGGGTTATCTTGTGTTCATAGCAGGTAGTCTAAATCTCTTTTAGTGTTAAATTTTGATCTGTCACTGATCGATTAACTCTAAATTTTGTTTTTTTGTTACTTAGTGAAAAATTCTTCTAACAATTTAATTTTATCTGACTCATTTATATTGACAATTCAGACATACATTATACATTTTAAAGTAGACGACTTTAAAATGATATTGCCAATATTGTTGAGTTGCGCTCATGTGACGACTTAACTTATAACATAGTTCATTCGATTACATGAAATCAACTTTAACTTGAGAATATCCATCAGAAAAAATCATAGCATGTAATTCGTCTTTAAAAAGACAAACACATGACATGATGACAGTAAAATTCTCCTGTTAGTGATTCCATAGTAAATTATGAGGGAAAAACCAGGAAAAAAACCTCATAATACTATCCCGACATTGTAAGTATTTGGTCGTGCACTTAGTTTACTTTCAATAAACACCAAATTCTGATTTTATAGTTATTTAGAAAACATAAAATTTTTTTCATGTATTAATTGTAATTCTGATATCCCCTTTCAGTTTTTTTTAACTTCTTTTAACTATTTCTAAAATTTAATAATTTGTAATGGATGTTCTTATTTTTATTACACGTACTATAAATTCGTTGGTGAATATCTTTCAAGAGATAATTTTAATTAGAGTTTTAGCTCATTAGACTGATTAATCTAAAATGGGAACATTTATTTACCCCATTCTTTTGACAATTGGAATTGGAATTGGAATATTGTATATTTAGGCTTTCTTCGTGCAAGAGTGTTAACATTTCTACAAACATATCATTAGCACCTGCAGCTTTTTAATATTTGACTAGTTTTATTACATGGTATATATCCGACTTTAACATAATCTGTTATAATTGTTTGATGTTGAAGAATCTCTTATTTTGGCTTGCAAGTTCTTTAATTTTTTTGTACATGTGAAAATTGTAATCCTCCTTTTTTAGTTCCTCTAGTTCGTTACACTATTCGGTTATCCATTTTTTTCTCTTTTCTTATTAGTCTCGTAATCAATTTTTGTGTTTTCCTGTATTTAGTTTCATCTCTGATTTTATATAGTCTTCTTTTTAGTCCATTCATGATTAAATTT